GGTCCCTTCTGACCCTAGAAACTATGAAACTATGAAAATACAGCTTGTGGGCTGCATCCGGTCCATGGAGGGGCTTTGTCTGGCATGCAGCGAGCGGGTCCCTTGGTCCCGCCTGGCTGAGGCACTGCCTGGTCGTGGTGCATCCTAGTGCCCCCTGGGGACACAGCAGGACTGGGGTGGCTCCATGGCTGAACTGCCTTTCTAGGTAGCTTTTGCGGTGGAGGCTCTTTCTGGGTGCCACTGCCTCTGGCCCCAGCCCTGCAGCAGCCTTGGGAACCAGTGCACACAGCCCCAACCCTGTGCGTCCTGTCCCTGTTCTGGGCTCACCTCTCCAGGCTGAGCAGCAGTGACGGTGCAGGGGGAAACTGGCCCCTCCCCCTCACCTCTGCCAGTCTGTTGTTGAGTGGGGCCCTGGTTGGGCAGGACTTACCTGCTGGGGAGGCATGCCCCACAATATTTTTTTTCCTCTGTCTCTATCTCTACCCCCTTTTTTCCCTCCTCACATACTTACCTGCTGAGTGGGGTGGGGAGGGGTGGTGCACAGTATATCTTGGGCTGCTTTTAAATGCCAAAGGTGAGCTATTTTAAAAAGTTGGAGACCACTGATCTACCCTATAGGATTTGCTGCAGTCTCTTCTGTAGAGTACCACTCCCCAGTACTGCCTACGCTATCATTCCTGTCTATATAATTAACTACTAAGCATTCAAGTTCCAAAGTTGATCTTAGGCTTTTTGCATTAGTATAAAAGCATGTGTAATTCTTACTGGTGCCTGGTTGGCTATTTCTGTGTGACCTCTTACTTATTAAGGGTATCCGCTTGTGCTTATCTTCACTCTGTTTCTTATGCCTGGATTTTTATAGTTTTACCCCTATAGGATGTGTCAATCTGAACTGTCTACTATTCTGCACTTGTAATCTTCACCATGTATTTAGTTCAAAAGCAGCTCTACCATCTTTTTAATATTAAGTACCAGTTTCATACCATTTTGGCGTAGGTGGAGTCCTCTGTACAGGCTCCCCCTATTACAAAAGGTCCCCCAGTTGCTAACAAACTTAAACCCTTCCTACCTATGTCATCATCTCAGCCACATATTGAGACTGTGGAGCTGTGCCTGTTGGGAAGCCACATTGAAACCTTTTGGAGAATGCTACTGTGGAACGCCTGGGCTTCAACCTACCTAGTCACCTAGATTATAGCTTCCAAAATCTCTGCTACCTTTACCCATGTTATTGTTATTCACATGGACTACAACCACCAGCTCCTCCCCAGCCCTCCCTGACATCTCATGAGTCATGAGGTCCACTACCTTTGCACTCAGCAGGCAAGTCACCATGTGGTCCTCAGATGTCAGAAAGCCAGTTATCTATGTACCTAATAATCAGGGATTCTGGTTTTCTCTGATTAAAAATTGGAAATTCTCTGATTTAAAAACCCAAAATCCAAGATAAAAATTCCACCCCCCACAGCCTCGACAGCCCTCCTGATGGCCCTCACAACAGCCCCACAGACACTGACGCCCACCCTAGCAGATAAATGTGTGTAGGGGGAAGGGGCGGAGCGGGGGAAAGGGAAGGTGCAGTGGGGGTAGAGCAAGGAGGGGGGGAGTGTTCACCTGTGCCTTCTCCCAGGAGTGGGGCCACAGGGTGAGGGCAGGGGTGCTACTCTGAGGGCCCTACATGTACTGGTCAGCCTGATGGGGTTCACACACGGAGCCTACCACTACAACTCTGCCAGTACACCCTGTGCTACCATCCCTCACACGGCTTTGTGGGCAAGTGGCGCAGGGCGTGGCAGCAGCAGTCCGGTGGTAAAC